TCCAATTTTCTGTAGGACTTTGAACATGAATGAGTGTTGGATTTGTCAAAAGCCTTTTCTGCATCAATGGAGATGATCATGTGGTTTTTAGTTCTCACTCTATTGATATAGTGTATTACATTTACAGATTTTCAAATATTGAACCATCCTTGCATCCCTGAGATAAATCCTACCTGGTCATGGTGTATGATCTTCTTGATTTGCTGTATTCTATTTGCTAGGATTTTATTGAGGATTTTGGCATCAATGTTCATGAGGGAGATCAGCCTGTAGTTCACTTTCTTACTTGCGTCTTTCCCTGGTTTTGGTAACAGTATAATACTTGTCTCCAGGAAAGATTTTGGGAGGATTTCTTCCTTTTCAATTTCGTGGAAGACTTTGAGGAGTATAGGGACTACATCTTCTATAAATGTCTTGTAGAATTCAGCTGTGAATACATCCAGACCTGGACTTTTCTTTGTCAGTATGTTTTTAATTACATCTCGTATTTCATTGGCTGTTATTGGGCTATTGAGAGTGGTTACATCTTGTCAATTCAGTAGTGGCAATTTGTACCTTTGTAGGAATCTGTCCATTTCTTCTGTGTCTTCTGTTCTGTGAGAGTAAAGATTCTCAAAGTAGCTATTGATAATCTTGTGAATTTCCACTGAGTCTGTGGTAATTATACCCTTTTCATTCCTTATTGTTTGTATTTGAATTTTTTTTCCTATTTTGATGAAATTAGCTAGGGGCTTATGGATTTTATTTAATCTTTCAAAGAACCAGCTTTTTGCTTTTTTAATTCTTTGAATTGTTTTCTTCGTCTCCATTGAATTAATTTCTGCTCTAATCTTTATGATTTCCTCCCGTCTTTGGGTTGTGGTTTTGGTTTGCTCTTCGTTTTCTAGTTGTTGAAGGTGCAGCAATAGGGTACTCATTTGTTCTCATTCTGTTTTCCTACTGTGTGAGTTCACAGCTATGAATTTCCCTCTGAGAACTGCTTTCATCGTATCCCATAAATTCCAATAAATTGTGCTTGAATTTTCATCGAATTGTAGATATTGTTGAATTTCTTGTTTAATTTCATCTGTGACACATAGGTTGCTGAGTAGGGTGTCATTTAATTCCCGTGTATTGAAGGTTTTTTTCTGGTTTCTTTTGTCGTTTATTTCCAGTTCATTGTACTGTGGTCAGATAATGTGCATGGGATAATTTCTGTTTTCGTACATATACTTAAGCACATCCTATGGACCAGTATGTGGTCGATTATAGAAAATGACCCATGTGCAGCTGAGCAAAATGTTTATTCAGATGTGTTTGGGTGGAACACTCTGTATATGTCCACCAAGTCCATTTGTTTCAAGCTGTGGTTCAGTTCTGTTATTTCTTTGTTAAGTTTGTCTGGCTGCTAAGATGTTTGAAATGCAGTGAGATAGTGAGGTTAAGCTTGATAGCCTAAATCGTTTGATAATAACAATAAGCTTGTCTTCTGGATGACTAACAACCTAAGTTTGCAGACCAAAATTAGAGAAAAAGGAGGGCTACAAGCAAAGCCAACATTTTGGCCCTAGTCTTCTAAGGTCAATTAAGACTCAGGACATATGAGAACTTGTACGGTAACATCATGTACCTCGGTAGTGTCCCAAATTTTCTGATCAAGAAGATTATGGGGCCAAAGAGGAAAGTGAT